TGAAACTTAAATTTGACAACTGAATCACAATCAGGAGGTAGTTTTCCCAAATTTTTACCAAAATGTCATTTTGAAAAAGTGGTCTTTATTTAGGCCCCTTTGAAAATAATGGAAGTTTGTTGCTTGTCGCTTGTTCAGAATTATTCAAGGAACAATCTTTCACCATCTTATTTTCTTGTTCTTAAAAATACTGAGTGTATTGCCTACCAAAAAGCCTTAAATGTACTCTTTTGTAAAAAAATCAGAATATCGTTGCTAAGATTCCAATTCGAAAAATTTGAAAACCTTTTCAAGGTAAGACATAACTCTTCATTATTTCAAAGTAAAAACGAGAAAAAATATTTCTTTTTTCAAACGGGGCTTGGATGAAGTTATTGAAATTTTTCACCGTTTTACATATCACCCTGTAGGAAATTTACTTCAAGAACGGTGGGCTTAATATCTATAGCATGAATTGCCAGAGGATGGGGTTATCAGACATCACAGACCAAAATAAAATCGTTCAAGAAACAAAAAAGTTATGCCGTTTTAAAAAAGGACGAACTTTTTGGTCGCGACACATTGAGTGGTGCGCAGTTTAGTTGATTTTTGTTTAAAAATTGTTTATAAAGTGTTTTTAAACTTTTAAATTTTGGTGTAGCGCAAATTTGGTTTTGGATATCGTAATTTTCTATTAAAATAAAAAGTATGGTTAAACATTAAAAAACTTGTTTGTTATAGGTTATTAAACTAAATTTTTTAAACTATTATAATTTTCCTTATCCTACTTAATTGGACCAGTTGATTAAAACAATTTAACCGATATCAAATTACCTACGTTGAATGCTTCCCTTGAAGTTTGTAATATTCTCGTCGATGTGTCAAAGAGATTTCGGCAAGGAATCATTGGACAAACTTTAATTTTGTTATATTAAAGTGGTTAATAAGCCTTCTTTAAATACATCCTGTGATATAGTCAGTTGCCGACATCTTATAATTTCATGTTGGAAAATTTGTTAAACCAAATATGCTTCATTTCGGGCGATAACCATTTGGACATTTTTGGGGCAAAAAACTGATTTTTACTAACTTCCCAACTTTACACCATTAGTAGTTTTAAAAATATCCATACAAATAATAGCGTGGGCTTATAAGGTGGATGCATTAAATGTCTCAGTCAAACTCTCTCAATTTTTAAGATGAACATATTAAAATTCGGTACATTAAATTCATTCACTGTTAATCATGTGGCACTTAAATATGGCTTCTTCATGTATACAGTAATCTAGAAATGGTTCAAAACTGTTTGGTGATTAATGAGTTCCAATGTGGACGCTACTTAAACACAAAAAATTGTCCTTGAATGGTTATTTTAAGAAACTGTGTGTCTATAGTCAGGGCTCCATTTGAGACGAAACGGACCGGATCGACGTTAAGTAGCTCTCTTTAAAAAAATTAAAAAGTTAACTTAAAAAATTGGAAAACGGTGCTTTTTTACTGCTTTTATTATTTATATTATAACACATTTTTGGCCTACTTTTTTGCAAACTAAAAGTTTTTGTACAACCAAATCTTCATCTTAATGATCTGTATATAATAAATACAATAACAACTTTAAAAAATCAAAAATGCTTGTGGATATTTTTTTAAATAATTGTTTTCAGATTCAAATTAGATTGATGTACATTTTTTATAATGTCATGATAATACAATTTCTTTAAAGATCAATCTTGGTTTTGTTATTTTTTAAGATATAAACATATAAGACAAACAAAATGTTGAAAAGAGAAAAGATGTCTTTTTATTTTTTAGTGAGTTTTTACGCAAAAGATTATATAATCCAATATTATTGGTATAAAATGGAAACCCTTGGTGTGGCGAAAAAACAGCTAGGAACGACCCAAAAGGTTTTTTTTTAAGTTAATTTTCCACCTCCGAGTGAGGGAGGAAAATTTCCTCCCTCTTTTTTTTAACAATTTTACATTAGCAAGAGTTTTTGTACCTTGTCTAGCCCTATTTGATTTTGTAGGAAAAAGATTAACTCCGCGCTTGTCCAACCATTCTTTTAACAAACTATATTCATTTTCATATCGCTCTTTCGATTTTTAAGGAAGGAAATTAATTGCAACTATTCTTGCCTCTTTATCAAGATCTTGCGGCAGGTCTTCTTTGCTAGAACTCATTTTCAAAACGTAGGAAGAATTTCAAATTTATGATAAACATTATGACAGCTTATAAAAACTGTTATGTTTGTATTACAAAAATACCATAGCAACAAAGCGTTGTCAACATAACGTCGGCGACGCAACACCTACCTAATATTTTGTCATAATGTTATAGCAACATACCGGGTTAGTAAAAGGAACCGGAACGCTTAAAATGTCTTAAAACTGTTAAAAGGTAATAGAGTAGGAAAATGCGTTTCCTCCCTTGAATATTTAATGCCCTTCGCTTCGCGACCAACCCGATATAATTATATAGAATTATATACAATTATATATAATTATATATAATCATATATTATTATATTCCTGCAAAAAGTCACCAACTGAAATTTTGTAAAAATCTTAAAGTTTAAATTTACTAACCAAATTTACCTTATCTTTAATGTATAAAAGTCAGTAAGTGCTTTAAGCATTATATGCATATATGACTTGTACATTAAGTTTATGGTTATTTGGATATATAAACAACAATCCACACAATTATGTTTTTTGCAGGAATATAAAAATATAATGTCATCAAAACCTGCTCACCATTATTATTGGAGCTACAAAGTCGGTTAAATTAGTGGTATTTGTACAGAAAAACAATTGAACGTCGGGTTTCCGAAGTTATTACAAAAATAACATTTTTTAATGGGACACCCTGTATATTTTTACATATTTTGAGAGACAACTTAATATGAAACAAAAAATTATTATAGCATTACTACCCTAAACTTAAAAATACACAATTAATAAGCACTGAAACTTTCTAATGGTTCAACCATTATGGTTGTTGAAATATCCAAATTATAACAATCAGTCAACCAAATTAGTTTTATTTAAGCTTTAACTTGAAGAGAACACTATAATATAACAAACACACTTTATGAAGAATACGATATCTAGATTCACGCCACAGAAAAAGAATTTCTTCTAACAAAAGGCGACAAAGAACACCAACACACGCCATCTTAGCTTTCTCTCAAAAACTCCAGTGTTACCACCATAACGTATGGCGGAAAATTAACACAAACTATTAAATGAGTACAGACTACCCTATTTATTGTTTAGAGACCTCTAAATATGTTAATACCTTACAAACAATCGTTGCTTAAGGTGTTTAAACAATTATTAATTACCAGCCGTGATTTCTGCGCATGCGTATTAAGTTGGCTGCTATCCAGTTGTATTTTGTGGTCATATAACAAATACACAAAATGTAATCTTGTTTTTCGACTCCCACTTCCACTCCCAGTATCGTTCATCTTTCCAAAATATTTTAAATACACATTGACAAGCTGTTACTTCATGGCGTTTTAGTCAAGGGCTGACATTTTAATTAAAATTCTACTTGCGAATCTTCACCAAAAATAAATCGATTTATAAGAATCATTATCACTTACCCACATAATATTAAATAATCCTTACTTTTTTTGTAATCAAAATCCTTGACCAATTGAAAATATTTTTTTTAATGACGTCATTATCCAGGTATCTGGATAATTTTCTTAAATTATATATAATTATATAGAATTGTATATAATTATAAACAATTTTATATAGCTATATATATTTATATAAAATTATATAGAATTATATACAATTTTACATACCTTAAAAGAGACTTATATATAATTATATAGAATTGTATATAATCATATAAAATTATAAACAATTTAAAATACCTTAAAATATACCTATATATAATTTTATAGAATTGTATATAATTATATATAATTGGAAATTATTATATACAATTGTATATAATTATATAAAAGTATATAAAATTTAATAGAGAGTTATATATAATTGTATATAATTATATAAATTCCATATTTAAAAAAAAATATTTTATATAGAATTATGTATAATTGTATATCATTATATATAAACTTTATATAATTATATATGAATTATATATAACTCTATATACATTTTATATAATGATATACAACTACATAAAATCTTTTTTTATCGGGTAATCTTTTAAATCATCATTGACAAGGCCTTATGGCGCTTCAATCACCGGCTGTAGTTAGCAACAGGTTAAAGTTAGTTGACAATAGTCCAATCTCATAAAATAAAGTGCCCTTCTTGTTAAATAATACTAAATATAAAAATTATTTTATTATCTTAATACAAAAATACAAAGGTATTAAATAGTTTCTTAAGGTTAATATTTAAAAACTTTGAATGTACGTTTGTACTGTCCTTTTGATTTCGCCGGCAGCACAGTCTTATATAAGACTGTGACCAGCAGTAAACTAGATAAGCATTAAAAAATTAAAACTCTATTTTTGTATAGATGTCGCTCTATATAAATATTTAATTTAAATCATATTTAGATAATACCTATTAAGTATTTGTCGTAGAAAAAGTATATTATGCAACTCGTTTATAAACTTTTCTAGAAACTTATTTAATTAAGCACTTCCTCACAAGCTCGCTCGTGCCTAAATTAAATTCGTAAAAATGGCGTTTATCAAACTTGATACACTTGATACTATTATAAATATTTTATGTTAATATTAAATTATAATAATTATTATTATTAAATATTCCATATTAAATATTATATGTTGATTCTATTTTGTGTAATTTTACCCGATTGTATTATTATTACCAGGCAAGTGATGAGATCTAACTAAATCTAACAAAATTTTCCATAAAAATGAAAAAACTAAGCCCGGTGAAAGGTCAAAACATGTTAGTTAATATGTCAATAAGACTAAATTAACTAGTTTAAAACCCCTTTAATGAATTTTCGACTATTTGATTAAAAATGATTAACTGCCATAATTAAGTGGTTCCTACCTTTGCAGTTTGTAAATATTTTTTGATATGAAGAGCATCCCATTTCCCCCAAGATACAAAAACTTCAAGTTGGTAAACTCCAAAATCTGTTCTGGAAAATTAGTGATTTGGTTTCCATTTAAATTAAGCTCTCGTAAAGTCGATGTGTTGTTGAAAGATTTAGGCAAAGAATCATTGGACAAACTGTTATTTTTCGCTATTAAAGTGGTCAAAGAGCAGTATTCGAATACGTCCGGTAATATAGTCAGTCCATTGTTGCTGACATCTAATACTTTCATGTTGGAAAATTTGTTTAAATTGACAGGTAGCAAGTTCAACTGATTGTGGTGAAGAATGATGTTTTCGACGTCCAGGTGCGATTTTTTCGGGTCTTTTATCACTGTGTCAAAACGATTTTCCACCGTTTCACTGTTCATTAGAAGATATGCGTAGTCCAGTACTTTGCCATTGTTCTCCGAGTCACTGCTGTCCGATGTATAGTTTTCCATGTTTCACGCAAAGTTATTTAGTGAAAAATAAAATTGGCCACAGCACTATTCGACCTCACTGTATGGAAACCTCAACGTGACTAGTGCTTATAAATGTAAGAGCGCTCGTTATCAATTAAGCCACATATTGACCTTAGATAAAATAAAACACCATATCGTTTCCTATTAAGACCTAATGATACAGTTAATACCACCGATGCTACTGATACTTATCTTTTATATTGTTTACTTTTCTTTGCCTTGCAATTCGAGACTTTTAATATCTTGGGAGTATACTCGCATACCTATAGGTAATAAAATACAGTGAAAGTACAAGTTACAACATTGTTCAACAATGATTGTTGGTTATATCATTCATTGTATGTAGGTACCTTTTGTTTACAAATGGTTATAAAAATATGAGTTCAATATAACTTACATACGACATTTTTAATTCATTTCGAAGAAATTACTTGTTGTTAACTTTATTCTGGTAAATCCGCAAATTCATTTATTGTATCGACCGTCGATAATCGAGTTTTGTATTTTGTATACAATTGTACAGTTTAAAACTTAACACTTATTTTAACATTGCAGTTTAAAATTAAGTTATCGGAAGGTCCCCTCCCACTATAACAGCAGATCTACCGAAAACAAATTATTTCCTATTCCTCTTTTTAAAAATAACTTTACGCAAGGGACTGCGTTTCATTTGCACCAAAATTCCATAACATGTTACCTAAAGAAATAAGCCACTTAGGTTCTTCAAATGAGATAAAAAAGTTTAAGGTAGAATCTAGGCGCTACGTAAGCGCTACTTTTTAAAAATAATATCCCAATAAAAAAAATTAAAAAAAAAACATGTATTTTTCTCAGTATCAAACATTTCTTGACTGTTAACTTCTTTTTTTAACAATGTTTTGCTCAATTTTGTTCTTATTTGTTTCTGTTCCTCAGCGTTATATAGCAAGGTTTTTCCTTCCTGAATCTGTGTGTTTAATAAATACTATTTTTTTTAATTAGTTTTATTATTATATTTAGTATCAATGTAAATTTGAAAATTACATAAAGACGAATTTATCCTAAGATTGTAATCACACACAAACACTGCTTAGGTTATAAACAAAAAAAAATCTAAATGAAGGTGCCAATGCAAGAAGTGCCTCAGTCACATTTTCAATTAAATTTACATTGTGGCTTCATCTAAGAGTGTTCCACGCAGGGGCGTGCTGGCTATATCAGACCGGCCCGGGAAATTCAGAAAAATCGGCCAACTACACACGAAAAATGGGGGGTGAACAAAACCAAGTTAAAAAATTTTAAACATTTATTAATATATTAATAATTAATAACATAAAGTATAAATTAAATTCTTGAAAAAAAAAACAGGCAACAAACACAACCAGACAATATTTTACACAATGCTAAAACATATAGCATTGCACTTAAAATAAAAACTAATACAAATTATCATCGCTCAGGAAACTTATAAACAATATACAATCTCGAAAAAAGAAACAAAGCTGGCAGGCTGGCATGCATGGTATGTGTAAAATAATTATGATATTTATACATAACTCAACTAAAAAAGTTTTTAATTGACCACGTGCTGCGGCATGCTGCCACTTAGCCCTCCGGACCACCGGCCCACCGGGATTTCTCCCGTTGTCCCGGCGGCCCAGCACGCCCCTGGTTCCACGTAAGGTTTTAGGTGGTATTTTCAAAGTGGCTGCTGGTGGATTTTATGTATACCAATATCTAAGTTATTAGACATGGGACCCACACCAAATTTATAATAGTTTATAATGACATTAAATAGACAAGTTCGGCGCTAACAGAATTTAAATTGAAGTTTGCGAAAAAAAGTTAGTTTTTCCTGTTGCCTCACCCGCCTCCAGACCCCCTATTTGAGATAATTCAAATTAAAGTGGTGCAATTTATTATCTACTATAATTTATCGACAAATTTAAAATTTTATTTAAAAAATCCAAATATTACAGATTTTATTCGATTTTAATTTTTTATTATTTATTATATTAAAATAAAAAAATATTTAAAATGGTATAAAAACTGTAATATTTGGATTTGTTAAATAAAATTTTAAATTTTTCGATAAATTATAGTAGAAAATAAATTGCACCACTTTAATTTGAATTATCTCAAATATGGGGGCCTGGAGGCGGGTGAGGCAACAGGAAAAACTAACTTTTTTTGCAAACTTTAATTTAAATTCTGTTTGCGCCGAACTTGTTTATTAATTGTCATTATAAAATATTATAAATTTGGTGTGGGTCCCATGTCTAATAACTGAGATATTGGTATACCCAAAATCCACCAGGCAGAAATATGTGCCCAAGTCCCTTAGTTTGCATTTATTTCAATGGGAGTTTTTATAAAATCATATGAAATTTTGTAGAATTTCACAGAAATAAAAAGATAATGTAAAAAAAGTAATCGTACTAAAATTGAGTAAAACTAGTACCAGATTCGTTTAATGTGATACATTTTTTTTAATTTATCGGAATCTCTTGTCAATAATTTTCACTTATCTGTTTTTAATAATTTTTACTTTTTTAATATTAAAATAAAATCACATATTTTTAAAATTAAACAATTCATTTTCATAAAAATAATGATAATTTTGCAGTCAAAGTAAAAAATCGAAATAATTACTATATGTTTAACTTTAACCTTAAATAACTTTTAAACCAGTGAATTTATCAAAAAATCATTGGAGAGCTTTTTTGTACAGCTTTCAATATGTATCTCTTATTGCTGTATATTAACTTGTTTGGTAGAAAAAAAATTAAATGTTAAACGTGCCGATACTCCATGTTATTTAAATGGGAAATGTATCGTCTTTGTGGCAAGGTTTAATATGAATATTTTAAGGGCTTATATGAGTCTGATATTTTTTTTAGGTCATAAACTAAAAATTTAGGGGGTGCTGCAAAAAAAAACAAGTTGGTAAATAACGGACTTCCTAATATCCCATAATTGGAGTGCAATAATTTAACAGCAGATTTTACGTACAAAAATATGGAAAAAAGTTCCTATAAAAAAAGGCTAAGAAATGCTTTCTAAGGGAGCTACAGCCCCTGAAAGAGGAGCCCCTGAAGATGCACGCTAATTATGGGACACCCTATATACTATATATATTAGACTGGGCCAAGAAAATCAACTATTTTTGAAAAGTTTATGGGGTGACAAAAAAAATTATTGTGAAAGTTTGAGTCCATAATATTAATATTAAGAGGTCTATCATCGCATTTTTAATTTTTTTTTCCTCAGCAAGTTTTTGTCTCAGAACTATTGAGTTTAACAAAATTGACTCAGAGATATTTTTTTAAGAAAATTAAATGCTCTACAAAAAAGGTTAAAATGCAATTTTCCGTCAGATGAACCGTTTACTTAAAATCATGCCTTAAAAATTGGTATAGTTTTACATTTTGATCTTTTAACTTTGTAATTCATGTAAAAATCAGTATCCAGAAAAAAAACCGATGAATATTCTTATGGCAAATCAAATGCTTTACAAAAAAGCCTCTTAACATTTTTGGCTAAATTCACTCAATCAAAAGTTATTCAAGGTTAAAGTTTAAGTCAAAACAACATTCTTGTTTTTTCCTCCGTAGATTTATTTTTTTATGGGTGATAATTTAATTTTTTTCTTTATAAATGTGTATTATATAACTAATTAACAATTTCCAATAAAAAAACAACATGATTATTAAATTATTATTTAAACGATTAAATAGGTACCTAAAAGTGAAAATAAATGTTTCTAAAGAAAATAGCTTCTTAAAGCAAAAAAACTCTAATGTGTTATTTTTTTTTAATTTTCAGTAATTTTATCAATAACATAAAGATTATCATCGATAAAAAAAAATCAAGTTTTTAACTAACCCAAAAAAAAAATCTAGTGCGGAAAAAACAAGAATTTCGTTTTGACTTCAAACTTAACCTTGAATAACTTTTAATGGAGTGAATTTAGCCAAAAATGTTAGGAGACTTTTTTGTGGAGCATTTGATTTCCCATAAGAATATCTATCGGTTTTTTTTTCCGGGTACTGATTTTTACATGAATTACAAAATTCCAAAGTTAAAAGATCAAATTGTTAAACTATACCAATTTTTAAGGCATGATTGTAAGAAAACGGTTCATCTGACCAAAAAGCAAAGGATTATCTATAAATTAATACCTTATAATTTGTTATGAATAGGTATTAATTCAATTCAATTTTTCCTTCATGTGCTGTGCATCGCTCCATGAAAAAGTCTGAAAATAGTTGACTTTGACCCAGGAGGGAGAAAATGGGGTTCCCGGTATAGAAATATACCGGTATTTCTCGACAATATCGCAAGCTTTGACCTTTCAGCGAGGTATTTTGTGATTTGTGCAATCGATTTAGTGGATGTTTCAAGATTTGAACATGTCTGTGGGTGGATGGCTTCGAGAAGCTCATGGACGTAAAAACTTGTAACTGGGCAGTAAGAGCCTAATTGGCTCAAGTCCAATTCTCTCGAAATAGAGAATAAATAGTTTATAAGAATAAGGTATTAATCCTATAGGATAAAGATACTGTATATTTTTTGTATTCCGAAATTATTTTTTGATAGGAACCGAGATTTTGGTTCCTCCGAAGTGTCTGTCAATTGTTAAAATATTAACACAACCACCGCTAACCGACCAAAATCGTGGTATCGGTCATCAAAAAATAATTTCTGAACAAAACTTTAGTAGGTATCATGGTATCATTGGTTTCTTTTCGATAAACGCTATCCAAGTAAGCAACTCGTTTATAAACTTCTCTAAACACTCGCTTTTATTACAACAGTCGCTCAAAAGCTTCGCTCGTTGCTTAATTAAGCCCGTGTCTAAAATGTAGTTCATAAAACTTGATACATAATATAAGATTTTAGATGCAAAATATATTTTAAATTAATAAAAACATAAAAATTATAAAGTGAAACAACTAAATATTTATTTTATACTAATTTATATTGGTAATAACACCTATGTAAAAACTAAATAAAGATCATTCATCATTAAATAATATATACTTTTCACTCGACCATATTATGTTGTATAATGCAACTGTT